AAATTGATCATTTTTGTGAATCGTCTAAATCCGTTGAGAAAATTTTAGGGGCGGTGAGGTACCTTATCGTCGTGTTTTCACGAGCTCTCCCGAACAGTCTCTCAGTTTTCCGTTTGTAAACAGCCCTGCGATTGGACGTGTATGAAAGCTTCAACTAATCAGATCACTGAAGGCATTATTTGTTGCGGAAGTCTTAGCTCGATTATATACGGCCCAGCGATTGGTTAACTACAAGCGATTGGACCAATCAAATTGCATGTAACATATTGTTTTACCTGATTCATGGCGGCCTGTTCGTCTCGCAAATTCATTGTTCTGGGATCGTTTTGAGCGGAATTATGAATTTTTTGACGAAAGATCAGGAGTCTTTAATCCTAGAAATTGACTCAAATGTCAAGAATAAATTCCGATGGGACTGGCTTGACAGAAAAGTCACTGTAAAGGTTAAAATTGGTTCCAAGTTCGACGAAGTTACAGAAGCTCTTGGACAATTTTTGAAGAAACCAGACCCGCCATGAATCAGGTAAAACAATATGTTACATGCAATTTGATTGGTCCAATCGCTTGTAGTTAACCAATCGCTGGGCCGTTTATAATCGAGCTAAGACTTCCGCAACAAATAATGCCTTCAGTGATCTGATTAGTTGAAGCTTTCATACACGTCCAATCGCAGGGCTGTTTACAAACGGAAAACGGAGAGACTGTTCGGGAGAGCTCGTGAAAACTCGACAATAAGGTACCTGACCGCCCCTAAAATTTTCTCCACGGATTTAGACGATTCACAAAAATGATCTTCTTCTTCTTCTTCTTCTCCTTTCGGCACATCCCTATTCAGGGGTCGCCACAGCGAGTCAGTAATTTCCATCCGCCCCTGTAAACCGTCCTACCAACTCGCATGGTCGTCTTGGCAAAAGTTTTACGCCGGATGCCATTCCTGACGCAACCCTCCCCATTTCTCCGGGCATGGGACCGGCACTGGGGAACAGTGCACCCCCAGGGGAGGGCACTGCCCCCCAGCGGCTGGGTTATAATAAAGCACGGTTATGCATAATTGTATGCATAATAAATATTCACTATCACTGTATGAGGTAAGAATCAACAGCTTTTTATCACATTTACACAACACTTTATGAATACAAGTTATGAACAAATCTTAAATATGTTAGGGAATGTGTTTACTTTTTTAGTTTTGATTTTGAGCAGCAAATTTGGAGTTACATATTGGTGCTCACCAGGAATGCATAGGCAAAATTGCACAAATTTTCACTTGAAAGAATAGTGGCGATCTTGGGATTTTTTTCTGTTCAATTTTCAAACTGTGTAAATTTAATACACTTCATCTTCAGCATGTTTAGTGCCACTTTTGTAAGTAACCACGCCCCCGTCCAGGCCACGCCCCTTCCGCTTTTTTCATCACTCGCCATTGCCATGTATGACCATTTTTGTGCTAGTTCTGCTGATGCCACAAGATAGCACCAAAAGCTATGTCACGGAGCTCTATCCTGTTAATCCTTCCAACACACTGTAAACGACTCATTGAACCTAATTAAAGTCTCCTAGCTTAATGCTCACACAGAATGCAAAACTCCATCAAGAGGCTAACTAAAATTAGCATTACCATTAGAGTAATTCTAAATCTTCAAACAACTGCAATGTAGGGGTCTTGAAGGTATCCCCCTCACTGAACATCCATCTATTATTTTGTGCAGGAGGTGAATGCTCTGGAGTGCGAGATCCAACTTCTGAAGAACCTGCGTCATGAGAGAATTGTACAGTACTACGGCTGCCTGCGGGACATGGAGCAGAGGAAGCTCACCATCTTCGTGGAGTTCATGCCCGGGGTGTGTAGATAAATAAACAAAACAAACTAAGAGAAATTGCGACATAATTGCAGAGGTAAAATGTCATTTACCTCCACGCCTGCCGAGTCGCTTGCGGAAATGTCAGCGTCCTCAATTATCCTTTGTGTTGGCCCAAACACACGCTTTATGGGATTATTTTTCCCAAAGAGAGAGAAATACTATTCCTCTGTCTGTTTTTAATATTTACCACGGCAACGTTCTTATCGCTCGTCTCAACATTTACGCTGCATTGTTATGCCTGACGAGGCGAGAATACCCCCACTGCTCCTTTCGGTGGGATATTTTAACAGCTAAAAAAAAATGGCAGCACGTCTGCCTGTCATATTTCAGTTTCGAGGTTTGAATCTTGGCTTCGGCCTGCCTGTTAGTGAGTCTAGGCTCCACCCCAAAAGTCTGCTCGGCTTAAGGACAAGCGCTGTAGAAAATGGAGGGTGCATCAAATAATGCAGATTTTCTTGTTTGTCACAGTTTCCGCGAATAAGAGGGTTAATTATCTCGTGTATATTTATTTTATCTGTTCGTGGATTGAAGAAAGGAGTATTGAGGACTGAAAGGGGAAAAAAAATGTCTAAAAAGACAGGGAAGTTGTAAAGTTGCGAAATTATGTAAGTGAAATTGTAAATCATGCATTTCTCCTCCTCCTCTGCCTCCTGCCGGCCAGGGTTCGATAAAGGACCAGCTGAAGGCATACGGGGCTTTGACGGAGAAGGTGACGAGGAGATACAGCCGGCAAATCCTGCAAGGCGTCTCCTACCTGCACAGCAACATGATCGTCCACAGAGACATCAAAGGTTAAAAAAAACGAAAGAAATTCCGCTTGGAAAATTGGCTCCCGGAGCTCGTCAAATCTAAAAAAAGTCCCACGCCGGATGTGAAATGATTTGGTTTAGCGGTTCACAAGCGCTTTGAGTACTTGACTTGAAATGTAGCGTCTGGCCTGGAAAAAGGAGATAGCGGGTGGCCCATTTGAGCGTCTATGCGGCTGGGATTTTTCCACTTAGAAATGCAACACGGGAGTTGGTCTCCACACATACATTTCTGTTTTTTGGCAATGAAACGCTCCCCAAAGCACAAGATGGATTGATTTACTTTATTTTCATTACTTGACGTTTTACTTCTCGCGATGTAATGGCTTTATTCTTCTTACTTTATTGCTTTTTCCGCAAAAGATTATGACTTCTCCCTTCAGTGTGTTCGCTTTTTTTCTCGTCACTCAGTGACTCCAGTCTTGTTACTGCCACTTTATGCAGGGGCGGGGTGGCCATCGGGAATTTGGGGAAAATATGTTAATTTTCCCAAAAAGGCCGGTGCATCCTGGCCATCATGGCCGCTGGCAGCCATCTTCCCAGACTTTTTTTTCCATGTATTTTTTTTTTTTTTTTTAAGCACTCAATACTTTTTTAAAATAAAATTCTCCAAGAAGTATAAGGGAATATCTGCAATGAAACTCTTTAGTGGAGATAAATGTGACATATGATTGTTCCAAGTGTTCTTCAGGTTTATTTTGGATGAGGCTGACGAGTCTTTGGACTAAACGGCTGCCGGTCTGGCCTGTGTTTCCTCTCACCAAGGTGCCAATATCCTGAGGGACTCCTCTGGTAACGTGAAGCTTGGAGACTTTGGGGCCAGCAAACGCATCCAGACCATCTGCATGTCCGGCACGGGCATCAAGTCTGTCACCGGCACACCCTACTGGATGAGCCCGGAAGTCATCAACGGCGAGGGATACGGACGCAAGGCCGACGTCTGGTAAGAAGTCGTTAGCATGTCTGCAGCATTCACTGGAAAAGATATCATTGACAGATACAGTGTGTGTGTCTACACACACACACACACACACACACACACACACACACACACACACACACACACACACACACACACACACACACACACACAATATTTTTTTTTTTTTTTTGCCGCCGATACATTTTCAACAGTTTAGTGAACAGAAGGAACAGTAAAACACACAAATACAAAATGAGAACACTTGCAAGGAGATGCTGTAGGCCACTACTCGCACCCAAATGCTCACACGCAAGCTGAACTGGCTAACATGAAAAATATTGTACGTTTTTCAACTTTTTAAAACCAGTTAATTATTTTTACATTGATTTATCAGATTTTATTCAATTTCCATACAGCCAAGGACGGTGTTTTTTTTTTTTTTTTTTTAATTAAAATCACGTTTGGAAAAAAAAAGAATTGTGAGGTTTTGTGGGGCTGCTGAAATGCCATTTCAAATAATTCCAGTTCCAGTTACACTGTCCTATAATAGATGTACAATAATATTTTATGGTGATGTTTTTTATATGACAATATACCGTATATTGTGTTTTGTTATGAAAATCAGATGTCAGATTTCCTCTTCATCTCCATTTTTTGGGGGGAACTATGGTTTTTTGTGTCGTGTTCCATATTGTTTTCCCATTTTAACTTCTTCAGTGTCACATTTGATTTATATGTCTATTTTTTTTTTTAATTTGGTTTCGGTTGTTTTCAATTTAATGACTGCCAGTGGGCTTGAAGCAGGGACTAGAGCGCCCTCTGCTGTGCACCTCTTCCACACAGGCCCTGTGAAGCTTCACATTCCAAAATCATACGAAATGTTCATTGAAAATCAAAATTGGCCTGAGGTGTGAATGGGAATGCTTGTTTGTCCTTGGTGGGATTGGCTTTCAAATGTGGACACGCACTACACAAAATAATTTTATTGCACATTTTCCTTAAAAATTCATAAAAAATATGATTGTGTAATATTGTGGGGGGCGGGGGAGAAGCAAGTTAGAAAAGAAAGAATGAAGTTGTAAAATTACCTTCAAAATTCACCTTAATTTTTCTTATCATTTCAGAACTAAACAAGCCGTTCGGCTGCCCTTCAGGAGACTCTCGAGTTCTAATTTGTGTAGCTTAATTCTCCTAACTTTGCTACTTCAGGAGTGTGGCGTGCACCGTGGTGGAGATGCTCACCCAGAAGCCCCCATGGGCCGAGTATGAGGCCATGGCAGCCATCTTCAAGATCGCCACGCAGCCCACCAAGCCCGCGCTACCGGAGGGCGTGTCCGACGCCTGCCGGGATTTCCTGCGCCAGGTTTTCGTTGAAGAGAAGTGGCGGCCCACTGCCGACGTCTTGCTCGGACACCCGTTCGTCCAGGGCGGCTTCGGCCCCAAATGACTCGGCGACCCGCCCACGACCACCAACACTCCGCTAGAGTGAGCACTTGGCGGCAGAGAGCTTTTCGGGCCCACTGTGCTAGCTTAGTTTCATTGCCATCAGAGCAGCTGTGATTGGCTGTGTGGTAGTACTGTATACGCCACTCGTTAGCGTCCGTTAGCAGGCGATATTTTTATATGACAACGCAAAAAAAGAAAAAAACAAACAAAAAAGTCGGCCTGTTTTTTGTCATCGAAGCCTTACGATAATACTGGCGTTTCAGCGATATGGAAAAATGGCCAAGTCGGAGCCGTAACAGGAATCAAGTCTTTTATCGTCCTTTCTCACGGAAAACCCAGAAAAGTGGCGCACTTTGACACAGCCTGTTGTCGACATAGGTGGCAAGGGCAGAGTACCGCTATCCTGATATCGGAAGGTTCCTGATCGCATATCAAGATAGGGCGATTGTGATATGATCGATACATTCGAAGAGATTTATAACCTATGAAAAAAAATGTCAGTGTGACTTCAAACGGTGACAGTATCGATTCTTGATTCGTATCAATAACGTCTGGCAAGACTTCATTGTGCGATACGTCATAGTATTGATATTTTCTGCAGTCATCTCCGATATTGTAATACTGTCTGTATCAGGATATGGTGATGGCGTGACGATTGATAGTTTTTGTCATCCCAGCATAAAGTGATATGAGACTGTGATACTGCCTCACGATATAGCAGCTGAGGTTTACGTTCCATTGGCTCGTTTCAATATGTGTTAAAAAAGTGAATCTGGATTTGTGATGTCAGACAGCGACATTACAGTACTGCTATTTGGACGGATTTAACGATATGTTACGCTAAAGTTACTTTTTGTCCCACTCTTTACTTGTCGGACAGCGGTTGTGTCTTTGAAAAGCGCTACTGTTGTCGAAATGAAGCTCCTCAACTCACTTCAACGTGGTTCCTCGGCTCAAAGATGGCAGCGAACACTACTTTTGTTCACATTAAGCTCCTCCAACATAGTACTTAGGCAAATCCGCAAATAGCCAAATTCCGAAAATACCTAGCCGCGAAAATACGTGATTGTATTGGCATTTATTTTCGCTTTGTAAACTTGTGATATGTCAACTTAGCATACCACGACACAGCAATGCGACGGCTGCATCAGAGCTGTAACAGCAGCTAGTATTTATCCGCTGGTGCCTTTTATACAGGACTGAGCAAAGGCGGGATCTAGGTGACAAGAATCCCGTGATCATATACTTACATAACACCAGTGACGATTGCTTTGCCAAAACAGGCACTTTTATACTTCTGTGCTGCCTTTTCCAGCATTCATTTACCACCTGACCCCTGTCCTGTCTCTGTTACGGCTCTGATGCTTGTCTTTCAAGCAGAGATCCTGCAAAAATTGCTGCCATAAAGAAGAAACATTTTTTTCCCACCGGTGCCTTTCACACAGAACCAAGCGCAGGCGGGATATTGCCAACACGTGACACAGCGACAGCATCCGCCAATCAAATGTCAACCCGACAGGGCTTTTCCCAGCATTCACCACACGGGCAGTGCCCCCGCCGCTGTTACGGCTCCGATACGCACTCGGGAGGCCGGAAAATGTCTGCGAGAATGTCTTTATTTTATTGCTTGTTTTTAAACGTGCTGGAGGGGTGCGCCTCCTCTCACCGTTAGGATTGTACATTGCACTTTTTGATATCGCGCCACCTTTTTACCCGATAGACGCCAGCTATTTTTCTACTTTTTTTAATATACATGAGCGTTTCCCACTCAAAGCAATAGCGGTGACTCCTCCCTATTCGGAGTGGCCCTCACATCCATTCCAGTCTGTTGACAAGTGGCCAAAGAGAATGTTGAGCACATTCACGTGTTGCTGTTGTTTATTTACAGCCCTTTTACTTTTACAGTATTCCTCTTTTGTTTTTTTCGCAACCTCGTTCTACGTCGATGGCAGCTTCCAAATCCGATGCAGTTCGATTTCAAACACTTCATTGCCTTTACTTTCAGCTTTCCACGCTGTATATGAAGAAGCAAATTATCACCCCCGCCCCTCCAAAAAAGCGAGGCTGGGGTGATGAAAAAGAACGATCAAATGTTTTTATTCCACCCTCATCTGTGCCTTACCTGCTTGGAACAATGAATTGCTGAAACTCTGATATGGACAAAATAAAACACACACACACACACACACGCACACACACACACACACACACACACACACACACACAGTTCCACACTTTTGTATGACACTCAAAATACATCGGAACATAAGCTGTGTTCCACAGTAGATTGTAATATGACTTAGACCAACCAGGGTTTGGATGATTGTCTCTTTCTGGGGCTTTCGATCGGGACTCACTTTTTGTTTTTGTCTGAATGACAAAGCCTAAAAAAATGTATCATGTCATTCGTCTTTTGTACATTTAACTACATAAATCAAAGGTCCAAGTCAGCTTTCTTTGTAACTTAATAAATCAAAATGTTCAAGTCAGCTTTGTTTGTCTGATATTTTTGTTTTTTTTTAAAGTGCTTTTTTTAACCCATGCACCACTTTCAACATGGTGGACTGCCTCTTTCCCCGCAGACATTCAAAAAACCCATCGAAAAGTAGGGCTCAGACCATCGAATAATTCGATTACAGTTTCAACATGGTGGACTGCCTCTTTCCCCGCAGACACTCAAAAAAAACCATCGAAAAGTAGGGCTCAGACCATCGAAGAATTCGATTACAGTTTTTTTTTTGTTTGTTTTATAATGTCTTACCTATTTGGTTCTTATTTCTGTCATCGTGGATTTAAAGTTTTATGTGTCTCACTGTGCTATTTTAGAAACCTGCCTTGGGGCTCCGGTTGAAAACTAGGATTTATGCTAAATCCGGCGCAGTTACAGTTTATTTTTGTGTTGATTAATGTGCACTGTCCCAATGAAATAAATTAATAAATAGAATTAAATAGATTTTCCAGTACCCTGGTAATTTTGTGAGAGCAGACAAAATTGCCCAGGTGTGTGCGGAAGGTTGCCGCAGTACTTCAGGAACTAAAAGTTTTTTTTTTTTTTTTTTTTTTTTTTTTATTGGCACAAATTACGATTCGACGGTAATCAACCCCTTGGAATAGTTGAGCCTTTACAAAGAGACAAATGTTTTTATTTTTGTACTTAATTCAAATCTTTTTTCGATAAGCGGGCATTAGATTTGAAGAGGATACAGGAAAACTAATCATGATAGCGAATTACTCGATGTTGTTCAAGCAACTGAAGACAAATTGAAAGCAAAAAAATTGTCACAGGTCCTTTTCTCAAGAGGGTCGCGGGCGTGCGGAGCCTACGCCAGTTGACTTCGTTGTTTGGCAACTCCCGCACAGCTTTCGGATTCATTACGTTGTCAGACCATTGTCGTCATCCCCTGAGAAGAGAGTCATTACTGGTGATAACCGAGCAATCAGTAAGGATCAATACATTTGTTGTGGCACAGTTTACTCACATCATCGCACCAGAGGAAGATTATCTAAGCATCCGATTCGGCACGCGTGGTCTTGAGAAGCCACCGGTTCTTGTGCTGAGTGTGTCCAAAGCCTTCGTCGTAATTCCCTTTTCTTTGGAACAGTTGTCGGTAGTGGAATATGCAGTAGAATTCTCCGTGTAAAGGAACGTAATTGATCATGCTACGAAATGAGCACAAGTCGCCGGTTATGGGACGAAATAAACAACAACGCTGGGTAAAGCGATACGGTGGTCTGCATCGTCGTTTGACAGAAATTAACCGGTACAGTGAAACTCCTCGACAACGAAATTGACATGGGCGAAAATACCCCTAGTGTGAAAAAAATCTTCATGCATTAACTCCATTCCCACTTTCCTGCCCCCCATACAACGAAAAAAAAATCTTTTTCTCTGCTCTTGCCTCGCGACGAGATTCACTACAACGAAGTCTAATCCAACAGCGACTTCTACTGCTTCGTTCGGAAACGGCAAAAGCAACCACCACACTGGTTTACACGTGCGCAGTCGTTGTTGTTCGTTTCAGACGCAGCAAGAACGTTGCATTGCTAAAATGGCTACAAAACGGACCGTTGGATGTCAAGCAGCTAAGACAAGAAGAGCTCTGACGGTGGAAGAGAGGGTAAAAGTGATCCAAATGAAAGACGGAGGAAGCAAAATAAAAGACATTATCCAAGAAATTGATCAAAGTCAAAGTGAATGCTGATCGTAATTTTCACAATTTCTTTCCCTTTTTTTCTTTCTACACTGACTATATGAAGTGTCAAATAAGTGTATGCTCATACTTATGCACTATTGGAATAAAAATAAAGAGTACACATACGTGTGTGTGTGCGTGTACACATACGTTTGTGTGTGTGTGTGTGTGTGTGTGCGTGTGTGTGTGTGTGTGTGTGTTTACATCTGAGATCAAATTTGCTACAGTGAAAAACCCCGTGTTGTGAAAAATTTCTTGCTGCAAACATGATTTCGTTGTAGAGGAGTTTCACTGTACACGTTTGTCTGCTACAAATTGAAAACAAAGTCAAAAGTATCGGATGAATCTCGTTCTAGTTATCCCCCAGAAAAACTGCAAAGCGGGAATCAAGGTAATATAGCCGATTCACGGCAGGCCCAGAATTCCTCCTCCGGTGATTGACCAGTCGGGGCAGGAGAGTCGCCAGTCACCGCAAATGAGCCACTGGCTCGCCCCGGGTTTTAAAATTTACGCCTTTATCTCTGTCAGCTTCTTGGAGGAAGGAAGGCAAAAATCCTTTGAAACAAAGTCAGGACTTAACCCTCTTTGGACCGGCCAACCAGGTAAGATTCAATGAATTATTTTTCAAAGTAATTTGTTCCAATTCTATTTACAGCTGCGTTTATCGGGATAACATGCAACAAGCAACTCTCATTTAAAACAGTCTGTCAAAATTGAAATCGAAAAAAACAAGCCACTCTATTCTTCTGTTGATTATTTTTGTGATGTTGTTTTCGAGAGCTGTCGAGTTTTTACTTGTTTTTGCTTTCCCCAATATGAGCTAAAATTAACTTGTTTGGTCAAAATGTAGTTGCTGCATTGCTAGCTAGACATCATTGCAATTTAAAAAAACATACTAATGAATTGATTTTTAGAAGTCTGTGAGGCAAGCTTGTTCCATCAAAACACGACGTCTGTTGTGACGTTAACATCATTTGCTAAATGTCACTATCAGGGCAGGATGTTTGCCGAGCGGTCAGCATTTCTGCGTCACAGTTTTGAGCTTTGGAGGTTCGTTCTAAATTTGGCTTTGGCCTTCCTGTATGGAGTTTGTTATGCTTGTTCTCCCCATGCTCGTGTGGGATTTTTTCTGGGGACTCAGTTTTCCTCCAAATTTCCAAAACATGATTATGAGAAAATGGAATCAAACACCCCTTACATTTAGTCCTTGTAAAGTTCCTGTACGAGCTCTTTTTTCAAGCGGTGCTTGAAATCATTTTTTGCATTTGTTCTCGACGTCTCACCTCAGTGTTTTCTTGCACTTTTTACAGCAGAAGCAACTTTTGTGAAAAACGTATTTGTCCGTGCTCATTTTTTCCATGGGATAAACTGGCTTCAAACAGGCCGAGCATGTCTCTTGGTGACTCGGTTTGCACTGATGAGACAAGTGAGACAGGCAGTTGAAAACTAATCGTCTGTATTTGTCTAAAAGCAACAAACAAAAACACATTCCAGCACATAAGTATCAGTCAGAAATAACTGCAGTTGTGTACACAACCGTCATTGTAAATTTTAAATAAGCACCTACAAAATGTGTAGAGTTCTCGCGTTATAGAGTTCGGTTGACAGGCAGCAAAACCTCCGGGTATGTCGCAACCCGATGCAAAGTTGGTCGGGTCACGATCAAATCTGTGGATGACATTCTGGTCTCAGGCTGGATGGTGGTGACAACAGTGGAGGTGGTTGATGAATAAATCCCGTTGCTACGGGCATCCGTCCTCTGATAGTTTTCTGCGATGGTTTTGGTGCCTAAGATTCCGCTCCCCCCCAGGTCTGTTTGTCCGTCGACTACGCTAGTCTCTCGTTGTGGGAAGCAGGCAGTGGGCTCTTTTTCGCTAAAAGCGGGACTGTTGTTTGAAGGGAATTTCTCTGGGCTGTGCTGACAAGTTGGGCAGGTTGTGACCACTTGGGGCAGCAGCTTTGGTTGATCTGACTTTTTCGCGGCTGACTGTATAGAGATAAAAGCAGGTGAGCTTGGAGGACCCTCTCTGTGCTTAGGGGTTATTTCAGCACTTGGATTCTGGCCACCTGGTGAATCTGCGGGGCCTTCTTTTACCTGCAGTGATGCCATTTTGCTTGAGCCGATGCTAATTTTGCTAATGTTGCCAGATGCCGGGGAAACTCGTCCACCTCCTAACGACTCCTTAAACAGGCATGACAGACCGGCAATATCAGACTCCGATTTTAAAGTGGAGACCGAATAAAGGGCCTTCTTTATGGCTTCCTCGATGTCAACAAGCCGTGCTAATGTCTGTTCCTTCAGAGTCATAATTTCCTCACTGGCTCTTTCAAGATCTCCAAAAACGTGCGCCATTGGGGACTTAGTCTCGGTTGCTAATGTCGTCATTTCCTCTTTGCGATCTGCTTTCCCTTGCTTTGGCTTCTTTTTGTTTGAGGAGACAACCCAGTCGGGGACATTCTCAAACACGTTTCTGAGGGACCTCACATCAACCTCACTGGTGTCCTCTTCAATCGCTTCGACTCGACACAGGATGCCCCGCAGTTCCTCCTGCTTTCGCAAGTGGTTGAAAATTTCCATGGCAGTCCCGCTGTTGCCCCGCATGATCTCGTCCATGTGGAGCGACAGACGCTGACGCCGTTCGTTGTCCGTCTCCGTCCTTCCCCTTTTAGCTCTCAACTCAACCTTGCCCTCCTGTTTCATTCCTTCCTCTTGTTCGGCATCATTTTGTTCCCTTGTGTCGCTGCCTGAATGACTAAGTAGCGGGGACTTTGGTTCTGCAACCACCTGCGCAGAAATGTTGTCAGGTTGAGCTATTTTCACTCTTTTTGGTTTCACAGGTGGTCTCTTTTTTGGAAGGTCATCCATACCCCAGAAGTTTTTGCATGTCTCATTGAAATTTATCTGGACTTCTGTTTCAGTCATCTTCTCTTCGACAAGGAGGTCCGGGGCCACTGTCTCCTGGACTGTGTCTTTTTTCTCTCCTCCTTGGTCTTGATCAAATTTTTCCACTGCGATATGCGATTGATGGATTTGGTGTTTTTCAGGTCTTTTCTGAGTTTTTTGTGATCCTTCACCCAACCTTCTGTGACTCAATACATCATGTTCTGACTCTGTAGCAGTGTTTATTTTCGACATTTCTTGAGTTTGTTTATCAATGTCTGGTGAACGTGTATCTTTCAATATCTTAAATGAGTTTTCAGTGTTTGTTGATTGCTTATTTTGCAGTTTGACTTCCAAATGTTCAGGTTTTGGAGGGATGGCTGGTTTTGGTCCAACAGGCCTTCTACTTGACTGGAGAGCAGGACTTGTTGACTTTTGATGCACTGTACTTGTCCCCTCTTCTGTGACCGTATTTGGACTCATCCGAGTTTGGGATGCCTTTGCACAAACATCTTGGTTGATTGCCTTGTCTCTGGAAACTTGAGCTGGATTTTTCACTCTTTCTTTGAGAGGTTTTGAGGAGTTCCGGTAAATCATAGCTGCTTTGAAATCTCCTCTCGTGACGTTAATGTGAGACCTCTCTAAGGAATCCAACGCTGCTTTGAACTGTCCCCGAAAGACAACGTCCTCTCCGTCTTTCTGTGTTTCTGAAACATCTGGAAAAACCACAGCAGCTTGGAAGTGATTCACCTGGACCTCCTCTGTCCTATTTTCGTTTTTACTGCTTGGAGCTGTGTGGGATTCCCCTGAAACAATTTGGTCAAGGCACTTCATTTCTTGTTCAGTATCTGGTGCTGAACTGATCCTCCCACTCATTTCCTCTGATCTTCCACTATTTTGGGGTGACGTTTTAGGTTGGTGGTGTACTGCCTGTGAATTGACATCAGGCGCTGAGATAACAGGTTGCTCAGTGTGTTGTACCGTTTTGGATTCATGTTTTTCTGGCAATAACTCGTGTAAAAATTGGGCTTCCGATGTGGCTTCTTGGAGGCTATCGACTGCAAGTTGGAGGTTTGAGATGTCGTCATCATCATTCACCACTTGGATTAATTCAGCTTGGACGACTTGGTTTCCACATTGGGTTTCGAATGGCACAAGAGTGATGGAGTCCATTGTTTCTTCATGAACTTGGCTTCCACAATCTGCATCATGTCCGTCAGTGTGAACGTCAAAGTCATTTACTGGAGATCCCTGAACATTATCAAGGGTGACATTTTGCCCCGTGAAAGACTTTGGTGTTGTGATTGAACGGGGTTGATCTTTATTGACAATTTGATCAGATTGGTTTTGGATTTGATCACCAGAAAACATGTTTCTCAATCTCTTTATATCCACTGGTGTCCACTCTGGAGTACACTCGTTCACACGATCAACTTTCTGTTCAGGAACAATATCTATGCATTGTCCCATCTTCCATTCAGGAGTAATTTCCTGTTCCCTGTTTTCCTGAAGAGTTTTCAGATAATCCAGTTCACCCTTTTCAATACAACTCTTAAGTAGTCTCACATTTCCCTTCATTGTCACTTCCGGACTGACAGATCCTCGGCAGGCACCATCTGGAGACATGAGGGGAGATTTTCTTCCGTCCGTTCTTATGGAATATTCTCGAGGACAGTATCGTTGCACGTCTTCCCCATCCGAATACTTGTAGAGGGAGTAAACGACGACATCTGCAGATTTTTCAGCGGCCTCCTGGATGATCACTCCTTTCCTCAGAGAGTTGTCTTGATTAAGAACATCCTCCACAAGTTGAACCACATTGGCAGTGTTCCGCGGCATGTTCTGGCTGCCGGCGAACTGATGCGGGTGCACGGGAACGTTGACCAATGTGCTTTTAATGCCTCCATTGCAGACCTCCGTTAGGTAAGTGATCTGAGGCTTAAGGTTTGCTCGTGGTAGCGCACCAAGTATGAAGTTTTGAAAATTACCTTCAGAAACCTCATCGTAATGGATCTTGGCTCCATTCGCCGACTGGGTGTACTTAGCCTTTTTCGCTCGCGCGGACTCGTTCACCTCGATAATCAAGCCGTCTGCATGAATGGCATTAAAGCGATGAAGAGTGTTCAGTGATTCCTCGAGCGTCTCCGCGATTGTCTCCACTTCGTCCTTGTTCTGATGTCTGATTTGGTCAAACGGGATCGAGTCGAACAAATGCGCTCTGTCCTTAACCTTGGCGGCGGCATAGTCGTCTTCTGCTGTTATTTTGGCTTTTGTCATATGAGCAGTGGAATCTTCAATGTTTTTTGATATGAACGGGTTGTTTTGCAGAAGACATGTCCTAGATTTTATCCTGTCCTGGTGTTGTTTATCTTCAGAAGAGGATAAGGCATCCTCTTCCTTCCATGTGCTATAGCCAGCATCATCTGGCCCTTGTTTCTGTTGTTCTATCCGATTCATCTGGCTGGGTTTCTCCTGGCACTGTACATTCTGCCCATCACATTTCTCCCTCCACCAGGCATTGGCTAAGTCAGTCAAAACACCTGGAGTAGAAACTTTACCTTCAACCTTTTCTGGACTTAACTCAGGTGTATCCACCAACTGACTCTCAAATATCCTTCTGGTTGCCTGGACATCTATTCTCTTGACACCCTCCTCACGTTCGATACCGGGATCGGTCTTTGAAGGCACCGTTTGGTCCTGAAAAGACATCTTGTCGGGATGCTCAGAAACAGCTGATATTTTACTGACGTTGCCTTGTTGGACAGCTGTGTGCATTTTTGGGCTGTGAACTGACACTTTAGCACTTTGGGAACAATTCTCAAATATCAAGCATCTGGAGCGGACCTCTCCCTCATATCCGGTTTCATCGGCCGTCACCTCGGTGTCTGAGCTCAACACCTCAGCGAGCTCCTCATCTACGACCTCATCCAGTATCTTCAGCTCGGGATGTGTGTGCTTCAGGAGTCTTCTTAGCTCACATTTCTGCCGCTGTTGGTACAGCCTTTCTTTGGACATTTGGAATTGCAATGATTGTTGCGACTGTGACTCGAGGTTATCCGCTCCTTGCCGAAGGCGCTCTTCTCTCATGAGCTGGGTGTCTTCCGCCATCTTATAAGAACAAAGTGATGCAATCATCATTTGGCACTAAGTTGGTTCTTACGGGGTCCATGCTTCAGCGTGCGCAAACATGCTTCCGTTAATGAGACGTTTGTATTACCTTCCGAGTACCACCTGACTGATGCAAGTCGTCAGTGAATTAGCTGAACTCCAAAGCTTTCAACAACTGTATACAGGCCAAATGTGAACCAAATGGATGAAGCAAGTGTTTACTCTACAAACAACATGCAGCTGTTTTGTCAGTACAGCGCGAAATGTAATGCACTACCTGTTTTGGCAAAATGATGTGTCACAGATACTTACCTTCATTTGTTTTATTCGTCTCCCAAGTTCAGATGACTGATCTTGTGCCTAGTAGAATACAGAATATAATTCAAGTGCCCAGCTTTGGAATTTTACAAGAATAAAACAAAACTAAATCAGTGATTAACTGATTAATCGAGAACTAATCGACGATCAAATGAATCCTTTTTTTTGACAATTGATTTCTCATTTAGATCCTTTTTTTTTTTTGTTTGTTTGTTTGTTTGTTTGTTTTTTAAACTTAACATAGTCCAAATGCTCAGAATTTCAGCTTCTCAACAGTAAATATTATCTCACTTCTGGAGTCTGCCATGAAAGCAGACTGATTATTTTTGTGCTGAATCCAATTGAACATTTTTCTGACAAGTTACAGACCAAACCAGTCACTGAATCACAATTAATTAATGTTTGTGCATTTTCTGCAGTGTTAATTATGTATCCTGTTTTTGAGTAAAGTGATGGAACTTAAAACATGATTTTAAAAACAAGATATGTCGATGAATTTATGATATAATCAACAGCTTCATCGAGAATGAAAATAATTGTTATCCACAGCCCGACAAAACAATTTTTTGGTTTTAATCCTGAACTAGTTGACCGACCAAAATCAGCATAGAATGAGAGCGCAAGTACAAAACGTAAATCTTTGTTTCAGGGTGGTGGTGATAGGCAATTTATATTTTTAGATCGAGCAAAGATACAGCGCAAGAACAAGATGTTGGAAACATTTATTTAAAAATTGCATTTAAAGACCTTGATCATATGTATGGTGGGAAAAAAAGCTATGATTTTAACCTTCACCTTTTTTTTTGTCAGTTTTCTCTATTTGTGTGCAGCGTAACTGCTAAATGCTGATGCACCATGTTTGCTTTGAACCCCTGGCTCTACTGATTGACCCCAGTCTGCAGACCTCACCGCCTTACTGGGTTTATTTTCTCTTAGCATTTCTTTGGTGTGTTCAGGATCTCAACCGTACAATGATTTTTCTTTTTTTTTTTTTTTTATAAACCAGTTGTCTGATTTTAAAATACAATACCTTTTGATTTTCTATCGCGCTTTCACAACAGCTGCAGCTATAACAAAGTGCTCTACAGAATCGATTTTCCATCTGACTGGAGTAAAATGCTTTGAGTTCTTTGTTCTGGTTAGAACCCAAGATGCAGCGTTCTGAATGAGGTGCAGCTGTTTGATGCTCTTTTGAGGTAGTCCAGTCAGAAGACCATTTCGATAATGAGGTCTACTGGAGATACAAACATGGATGAGATTTTCCTGGTCTCCCTGGAGCATGCTTTCAATCTGGATTAGGATTATTAGTATTTTTTTTAATATGGTAAAGCACACCAGGGTTTCGGGCTTGTTTGTCTTTGAGGACACTGACTCCAAGTGTTAGCTAACAGAAATCCCTCTTTTTACCTCACTTCTGTTTTGGTTTAATTGAAGGAAATTTTGCTCCATCCAGGCAGGCCTTGATTTAGTTTCAGACAGTGACACATCACCTTCATTGGACCGTTGTCAGTTGGGCACATTGATAGATGTCGCTACTGTTTATCTAGCTGGCTACAGATAGGAGTCTACATTCTCTGGGTAGTCGGATAGAGAAAAGTATGAAGTTACCGGTTTGAAGTCACTCTGCTTTGCTTCCTGAGTCGCCACCTTCGACAGATAGAGTGCAGACAAAGCTTTGACAGAGACACACGGTATCTCCCTCTCTGGAACAAAGGAATTTTCTCTGAAGTCTGCGATTGACCTCCGTTTGTCATCTGCAAACAAAACACAAGTTGACACGAAAGCAAGATGCAGTGAGACCTCATCCGGAGGTGCAATAGACAAAACTGTAAATCACTTTCATTGCTGTCACGATTTGTATTTGCTACTGCGCT